ACATTCAACCGCCCTCAGTGGCTAACGCGAGAACTCAAAAAGGAGATCAATAAGAAAGGAAGATTGTGGAAGAAATTTCGGGAAAACAACAACATTGCAGCGTTTACAGAATATAAAATTCAAAGAAATAAGGTGAAAAGCCTGATTTTCCAGATGCGACGTGATTTTGAGGGTAATTTACTTCACCGAGCCGTTAAAAATCCGAAATTGCTCTACAGCTATTTGCGGAAGAGCACACGTAGCAGGAATCCAATTCGTGCCACGAGGAATGATGACGGTTTGGAGATATCGGACAGTACGAACAAAGCTGAGCATTTTCCTCAATATTTCCAATCTGTTTTCACAAGAGAAGCAGACTTTATTCCCACTAGTTCGAGAACATGGGAGATCCCACTATCGAAGATATCGTGTTTCGAGAATCAACGAATTTGTAAAAACTAAAAAGCTTGAAGGAATGTAAATCTCCCGGTCCGGACGAGATCCCAGCAAAGCTGCTTTTCGAGCTTGCCCGAGAGCTGGCCAAACCACTATCCTTTCTGTGCCAGGAATCGTTCGATGCTGGAATCCTTCTCACAGACTGGAAGACGGTCCACATTACACCCCTTTACAAAAGCGGTAGTCGTGCTCTTGCAACGAACTACTGACCTGTCAGTCTGACATCAATCTGCTGCAAAGTTATGGAGAAAATCATGAAAAAGGAGTTGATGACTTATCTGGAAAGTCACAATCTCTTGTCCAATGAACAAAATGGTTCCCGTAGGGGAAGATCATGTGTAACGCACTTGCTATATACAATTTAAAGTTGGACAAGAGCACTGGACGCAAAACACACCGTGCATGTTGCCTATGTTGATTTTCGGAAGGCATTCGATAGTGTACCGCACCAAAGTCTCCTGTACAAGTTGAGAGTCATGGGCATCGGCGGCAAACTTCTCAAATGGATCGAGAACTTCCTCGTCGGCCGTTCCCAAATTGTTTGCGTAGAAAGACAGCAATCAAGGCGCACATTCATAGAGAGTGGAGTCTCACAATGCTCGGTGCTCGGACCAACCCTCTTTCTCTTGTTCATCAATGATTGTGTAGATGGGTTGGACTGTGCTAATGCCATGTTTGCGGGTGACATAAAAATCTGGAAAGTTATCCAGAATGCTACCGATGAGACCAACTTCCAAGAAAATCTTTGTCGATTGGACGAGTGGTCCCGCAGTTGGCTCTTGTCCTTCAATTTGACCAAATGTACCATACTGCGCCTCGGAAATCTGACCCCATAGTACGCGGCAATACCATCTTAACGGAATACCACTTCGAGAAGCAGAAACGCAGAACGATCTCGTAGTCTGGTTTGCAGACAGCCTTAAGCCTTCTACGCAATGTTGTAAGGCGGCCAAGGCCGCAACTTCAATGCTATATGTCATCAAGCGGGCATTCGCAGTTTTCGATGAAGGCTGCTTCTCCAAAGCCTTCGGCACGTTTGTAAGGCCGCACCTCGAATATGCAATTCAGGCCTGGAGACCATGGACACATCAGGATTACAATCTGCTCGAAAGGGTGCAGAGGCGAGCCACAAAATTAGTAAGAGGTCAAAGTGCACTGCCATACGAG